ACAGTTTAGTTAGTGTAGTTTAGATAGTGATTCTTTTAGACAACACCTTCCCCTGTATAATAATAATAATAATACATTTAAACTATTATTATTTAAAGTAGCATTACAGAATTGTGGATGGAGTAAGCCCGGGTTCACATATATGCAGTGTGGTATATTGCATGTGATTCACACAGGAACCGCACCGCATTCCTGTGCAAATCACATGCGATTTGTGTGCGGTGCGATCGGAGCTGTACATTTTGCATCCACACCAAAAATGTGCAGGACCCCTTTTTGGTCCTCACTAGATTTGGATCACATAGGTATTCACACTCATACGATCCGATTCTGCACATCGCACCGCGTTTTACGGACTGATTTCGGGGTGTTGTTAACATACACACCCGCAGCGGTTCGCATGAACGGGGTGCGATTCTGATGCGGTGTGGAATTCACACAGAAAACGCTGCAAACTCCGCACCACATCAGTGTGAACCCAGGCTTAGGTTAGAGATTTGAAGGTTCTATGCTCTGGCAGGTTTTTTTTTTCCTTCTCATTCCCACTGGGGAGATTTCCTGTCCCAAAGCCACACCAGGAAGTGAGAGGAAATCCCTCCGAAGTGAGGGAATCCCTGGTTGTCACCAGAACTAGTGTCCCTATTGGAAGATTTCTCCTCTATTTGTGTTCTGGTGACAGCCAAAATGTGGAATTTTCTTTCACTCTCAGCGATCACAGGACAAACAGATGGGGTAAATCTCCCTAACGGGGACACAGACCGCAATAAAAACCTGACAGATGTTCTGATCCATCTCCATTCTATCCAAAATTGAAAATAAAAAGTGTTGTCTTTAGTTACTGTATATTTTAAGGGGGTCTCTAAGTAAGCCTATTCGTGGCTAGAATATGGTGTCTCTTCTGCTCTGCAGTACAGGCATGCAGGTGCAGTGTGGTCAGTATTGGGCCGGTCTTATAATGAGTAACAGCTGCAATATATAATAAAGGAGTTTATGATCAATGATGAGCAATGATCTTCCTCAAGAGACAAAATAAAAGTAATATAATTATCGTACATTTATCTTACACCCCTCCATATAAACTGTCACCCCAGGCATCTGCCTGGCACTCCAGGAAGGCACTTAACAGCTTTTTATTTGCTTTTATGTAAATTGATGTTTAATGTATTTTACTTATACATTCCCCTCCTTCCATTGTGAACACGAGCCGGTCACAGGGACACCACGGGAAAACGCAAACAAGCCGAAATCACATCCATTCCTATGTGATTATTACTGTGTTATAATTGCTGGGTGAACCTGTTGTGGAAGTGACAGTTCAGTAGAAAGTTTGCTTCGGCAATACAGAGATTTAGTTGTTAAAGCCCAACCTACTTCGCAGTTTAACCACTTCAATACCGGGCACTTGCACCCCCTTCCTGCTCAGGCCAATTTTCAGCTTTCGGCGCTCTCACACTTTGAATGACAATTGCGCGGTCATGCAATACTGCACCCATATGAAATTTTTATAATTGTTTTTCACACAAATAGAGCTTTCTTTTGGTGGTATTTAATCACCATTGAGTTTTTTTTTTTATTTTTTTGCTAAATAAAACAAAAAGCACCTGAAACTTTTGAAAAAACTCACTTTTTTTTGTTTCTGTTATAAAATTTTGCAAATAAATAAAATGTATTCATAAATTTAGGTCAAAATGTATTCTGCTACATTTCTTTGATGAAAATAATAATAATAATTGAATTTGTATTTTTTTTTCAAATGTTTCTATTTTTTTTATTTTTTATTACTTTTTTTCTTTTTTTTACTATTTTATTTTTCAGCACACTGTGACCAAAGCAATAAAATGTTACCATAGGAACATTGAACTGCTCTGGGCAAGTGATCAGGATTTTTTTCTTAACACATTATGATTGCTAATACCAATGTATTTCATTGATATTTGCAGTCAAAGTTACTGAATGAAACTGATTCATTCAGTCTTTTGTGGTGATTAGCTGTGTTTGGGCAAAGCTGATCACATGATACAGATGGGCTGTGATTGGCCCTGTCTGTATCATGTGACTGCCTTGACCAGTCACAGCTAACAACATAATTGTATATAATGGATGACATGACAAGAAGCCATCCATTGTATATAATTGTCATGTGATCTGCTGTGATTAGTCATAGCGGTCACATGACACTGGCAAGGGGCCAGTGTAGTGATATGTCATCAGCTGTGTCCCATGAACACAACCGTTGACAGATTGCGTGGCTCGTTTTGACAGGACGTCAAATGAGTAGTGTCCTGCCCAGCCATCAATCTGCTATAGGCCGGGTGGGAAGGTGTTAAATGGGCTAAATACAGTCCAGAAACATGAAAACAAAAGATGGGTAAAGTCTTAGGAATCTATGGGATTGATTTATGAAAACTGGAGAGTACAAAATCTGGTGCAGCTCTGCAAGGAAACCAATCGGCTTCCAGTTTTTATTTTGTCAAAGCTTAATTGAACAAGCTGAAGTTAAAAGCTGATTGGCTACCATGCACAGCTGCAGCAGATTTTGCGCTCTCCAGTTTTAGTAAATCAATCCCTATGTATAAAGAATTTAATGTACAGTTGGCACAAAAGTAAACGATCTTCAAATTGTTTGTAATATGATCATCTCCTATGACGATCCGCTCCATCTAGTGGCCAAACTGAAGTATTTTCCTGAAATACCTCAAAAAAAAAAAAAAAAATACATTATAGCCACTAGATGGAGCTGATGAGCATCTTTGGCTGATCCTTCTTACTTAGAGTACTGATCTTCGACTATTTTTCATTGGCTGGACGGAGGTGTCATCACTCCTGCACATGCACAGGAATTCATTCATCTTGGCAGATGCCAAAATTATATACTGAGCTGCATATGTGCAGCTCAGTGTACAGTGCAGGCCAGCAGGTAAGAAGTTTTAATGCAGAAGAGACATAGCATGTCTCTTCCGCATTGAAACCTACCTGTTTACCTTTAATTTTTTTTTTTTTTTAACTGCAGTTCCACTTTAAGACATCCACATGGCAATTTTTTATACATAGAACCCCCCCCCTACAGTTTTCTTCAGAAAGCAGCTACAGCCTGAGTAGCAAAGCCTCTCCCCTTCCAGCATGCTGAAGAGAAGGACCATTGTGTGGAAGCAGTGGTCTATCTGCAGAGGTCCACCACACACGCTAAAACTCTCCAATCAACAGGGTTTGTACGTTTTGCTGATTGGAGAGCTTGAGCTCTGACTCTCTGCAGAGAGACCACTGCTTCCACACAGAAAGCAACAGTCTGTCTCTGCATCATGCTGGCAGGGGGGGACAGGCTTTTCTACTCAGGCTGTGGCTGCTTTGCAAAGAAAATACACTCTAAGACTTTCGACACCTTTTAATTGGATGCGTGTGGAATGTATTTCGCTGAGATGAAGCCCAAAATGTTCCCCAATCAGGACGGTGGCTGTAAATTTCCAGGTGGAAGAATCTCTGCACTGTGAATTTGTCATGGTTCATCACCTTGCACATTTCCTTCAGTTTCAAATACGTAAAAAAAAAAACTGATTTTTTTTTTCAAAAATACTATTTTCTTTTCTCTGGAAAATCTTTTGCTGTAGATGAAAAAATGGGAACGGTCTCTGCTGGTCAGGCAGTGCCAGATTCTGCACCTGATGTATCACCAGGAGGAGCCGCCATGCCATGTCTTCATTTCAAGTGGGAAATATAAAGACGGCAATAAGCCAACAATCCCATAATGTAATGGAGAGATAATGAGGAGGATTTACTAAAACCAGAGAGTGCAGAATCTGGTGCAGCTCTGCATAGAAACCAATCAGCTTCTAGGTTTTCTTAACCACTTCCCGTCCGGTCGTTGAATATAAACGGCCGTACAGTGGCAGTGCAGGGTCAGGTGGCTGTTTATAAATGGCCTCCCCGCCCCCTGCTTGTGCGCGCTCCCTGGGTGCGCGCAGCACCGCGATCCGGTGCCGGCTGTGTCCTCTGGACACAGTGGAACACCGATCATCGTACGGGACCCCTCTGCGAGGTCCCGATCATGTGATCACTGATTGGCCAATCAGTGATCACATCCAGAGTATTAAGCAAGATGTCATTTCTGACATCATTGCTTACTACGTGTGAAATCTGTGAATGATCTGATCACAGAGGTCACATGGTACAAGGCTATTCACAACAGCCTTGTACCATGTGACAAGCTGTGGCCAATCACAGCTCACACAGTAGTTCTCAATGGCTGCAAGAATGCAGCCAGAGAGAAGGAGAAATTATTGCTTTTACAGCCTTTATGGGTGTAAAAGCAATCAGTGTAAACAAAAAAAAAAAAAAATCTTCATCACCCCCCCACAAGTAGTACAGTGTCACCATGGTGACACTGTACTACTAGGGCAGTGATGGCGAACCTTTTTGAGCCCAAGTGCCCAAACTGCAACACAAAAAGCAACTTTTTTATTTCAAAGTGCCAACACTGCAATTAACCACTTGCCTACCGGCACTTCTACCCCCTTCCTGCCCAGGCCAATTTTCAGCTTTCAGTGCTGTTGCACTTGACAATGACAATTGTGCGGTCATACAACACTGTAACCATATGAAATTTTTATAATTTTTTTCACACAAATAGAGCTTTTTTTGGTGATATTTAATCACCACTGGGTGTTTTATTTTTTGCACTATAAATGAAAAAAGAGCAAAAAATTCAAAACAAAAAAGGTTTTCTTTGCTTCTATTATACAATTTTGCAAACAGGTAATGTTTCTTCTTTGATATGCGTTGGTGAGGCTGCACAGATAGGCAGTACTGATGGGCACTGATGAGGTGGCACAGATAGGTAGCACTGATGAGGCGGCACTGGTGGGCATTGATGAGGAGGCACTGTTGATGCACTAATATGCAGCAATGATGGGCACTGATAAGCGGCAGTGACTGATAGCACCAACTGGAGGCACTGACAGACGGCACTGACCGGTGGCACTGCTGGGCATCATTGATGGATGACACTGATGGGCAGCACTGATGGGCAACACTGCTGGGCACTGACAGCCAGCACTACTGGGCAGCACTGACAGGTGGCACTGCTGGGCAGCACTGATGGGCAACACTGCCTGGCACTGATGGGTGACACTTCTGGGTACTAATGGATGACACTGCTGGGCACTGCTGAGCGGCATTGCTGGGCACTGCTGAACGGCACTGATAATCAGTGCCCTGATTATTAGTGCAGATCTCTACTGTCACCTTTGCCGGTTATCTGCAGTACTTTCTTCAATCTGTGACAGCGTGAAGAAAGTGCAGCCGATAACCGGCAACTGTATTTACATTGTGATCTGCTGTGTCATTTGATACAGTTGATCACGTGGTAAAAGGCTGCTGTGATTGGCCTTTTACCTTATCACGTGATCAGCTGTATCCGTAGGACACAGCGATCTCCGGCAGCGCAGGGTGTGTGCCACTGGGTTCGCGTTCTGGGACGCCCTCCCAGAACTAGACAACCGTGCTGTAGCCATCTTTCGGCTATAGCATGGTTGGCAAGCACCTCTTACCTCTGGCAGTGTCAGTGTGGTTCCAACCCAGCAGCTCATTCCCATCCACGCTGAACATGTCGCCCCTGGCCCCGGAGCAGTGTGGGAGCCTCTTCCTCTCTTCCACGCCCATCCCCGGCTACATCACCCTGGTGCCAGAGCCGCATAGGAGCCGTTTTCCTCTCGTCCACGCCCACCCTGGCCCCAGAGACATGTGGGAGATGTAGTTCAATGGGGGTCCAGTGCGGATGAGATCTGGATGGCCGGTCAGTGTGCGTGGTCCATGTGCGCTCATCTTCCTCTTCTTGCTGGCGTGCCCACTGAGATGGCTCTGCGTGCCAGCTCTGGCACGCGTGCCATAGGTTCGCCATCACTGTACTAGGGTGACAGTATGTTAAAAAAAAAAAACCATAAATAATATAAAAAAATTAAATAAAAATGTAAAAAAAAAGGTTTAAAAATTATAATTTTTGGTTATAAACTAATTTGGGTTTTTTTTTACTAAAAAGATAACGAATACATTTTGGCCAAGATTTATGATGAAATATTATTTATTTGCTAAATTTTATAAGAAAAACACTTTTTTTTTTTATTTTTGGACTTTTTCATTTACATAGCAAAAAAAATAAAAATCCCAGTGGTGAATAAATACCACCAAAATAAAGCTTTATCTGTCTCAAAAAAAATGCTAAAAAATTCATATGGGTACAGTGTTGCATGACTGCGCAATTGTCATTCAAAGTGTGATAGCGCTGAAAGCTAAAAATTGGCCTGGGCAGGAAGGGGGTGAAAGTGTCCGGACTGGAAGTGGTTACCAAAGTTTAATTGAACAAGCTGAGGTTGGAAGCTGATTGGTTACCATGCACAGCTGCCCCAGATTCTGCAGTCTCCGGTTTTCGTAAATCAACCCCAATGCACCTTGCTTGTTGGAAATCATGGCTCTCCATTAGCAACCAACAAAACTTTCTTCTGTAATTCTCTAACCAGCCCTAGAACAATGACAGCTGGGGTATGGTTGGTTGACATGGACAGTGCTTTATAATCAAAATTCTGTCATTTTTGAATGTGGCTTTACACCAGGACTACAGAATCAACTGTGTATTTCAAAAATTACCATAACCTAATCAGAGTGTTATTAATTACAGACATCTCTTACTTACGTCCTGATTAATCTTATCAACAAATGACAACTGCCACCCCTGCACATCTGCTGAGGTGTCTCAATAATTAGCTATTCCGATAATAAGAATTAATTATTGAGTGAGAATCCCCAAAAGCCTAATGGAAAGTAGGTTGTGTTAAATAATAATGAAAAAGGTTGTGATAAAAATTGAATAAATTAAAAATAAACTTTTGTTCATAAAATGCTACAAAGATACAATATACAGTATGTATGAAATCCCTAGATAGAGAAAGTGACAGATGGATAGATATTAAATACAGAGAGAGAGAGTGGGATAGATAGATAGATAGATAGATAGATAGATAGATAGATAGTGAGGTCTAGGGATAGATAGGTAGTAGAGATGGATAGTAGCAATAGATGGATAAAAAGAAAATGATAGATAGATAGTAGAGAGAGATGGAAAAATACACTGCTCAAAAAAATTAAAGGAACACTTTTTAATCAGAGTATAGCATGAAGTCAATTAAACTCCTGGGATATTGATCTGGTCAGGTAAGTCGCAGAGGGGGATGTTGGTCAGTTTCAGCTGCTTTGGTGTTAATGAAATTAACAACAAGTGCACTAGATGGGCAACAATGAGACGACCCCCAAAACAGGAATGGTTTTACAGGTGGATGCCACTGACAATTTTTTTTTTCCCTACTTATCTTTTCTGACTGTTTTTCACTAGTTTTGCATTTGGCTAGGGTCAGTGTCACTACTGGTAGTATGAGGCGAAACCTGGACCCTACAGAGGTTACACAAGCAGTCCAACTCTTCCAGGATGGCACATCAATGCGTGCCATTTCCTGAACGTTTGCTGTGTCTCCCAGCACAGTCTCAAGAGCATGGAGTAGATTCCGGGAGACAGGTAGTTACTCTTGGAGAGCTGGACAGGGCCATAGAAAGTCCTTAACCCATCAGCAGGACCAGTATCTGCTCCTTTGTGCAAGGAGGAACAGGATGAGCACTGCCAGAGCCCTACAAAATGACCTCCAGCAGGCCACTGGTGTGAATGTCTCTGACCATACAATCAGAAACAGACTTCATGAGGGTGTCCTGAGGGCCCAACGTCCTCTAGTGGGGCCCTGTGCTTACTGCCCGGCACCATAGAGCTCGATTGGCATTTGCCATTGAACACCAGAATTGGCAGGTCTGCCACTGGCACCCTGTGCTTTTCACAGATGAGAGCAGGTTCACCCTGAGCACATGTGACAGACATGAAAGGGTCTGGAGAAGCCATGGAGAATGTTCTGCTGCCTGTAACATCGTTCAGCATGACCGTATTGGTGGTGGGTCAGTGGTGGTCTGGGGAGGCATATCCATGGAGGGATGCACAGACCTCTACAGGCTAGACAATGGCACCCTGACTGATATAGAGATATCTGAGATATCTGATATAGACTGAGATATAGATACTAGAGAGAGATAGATATAGATATAGATAGATAGATATCTTCCGCCTGACAGTACTAGGGTCGTTGGTTCGAATCCCAGCCACAGCACCTCGTGCCTGGAGTTTGCATGTTCTCCCTGTGCCTGCATGAGTTTCCTTCAGGTGCTTTGGTTTCCTCTCACACTCCAAAGACATGCTGGTAGGTTCATTGGATCCTGTCTAAATTGGCCCTAGTATGTGTATGAATGTAAGTTAGGGACCTTAGATTGTACGCCCCTTGAGGGTTAGGGACTGATGTGAATGTACTATATATATATATATATATATATATATATATATATATATATATATATAGCACTGCGTAAATTGACGGCACTATATAAGTACCTGAAATAAATAAATAAATATAGATAGATAGAAACTGATAGTAGAGATAGAGCCCTACCAAATGAATTAATTAGAATGTATCAGAGTGGACATTTCACAAAATACCCCTCAAATGTTGGATACATGGTCCTCCAATCCACCTTCCACCAAAGTTGACCATTGTTTGTTTTTTGTACTTTTTTTTTTTTTCTCATCATGTGAACTGTGCTTGTTATCTCTCAGATTGATCCTTGTATATATGAGACGTTGGCAGACCTGGAGTCAATGTGTATGTTCCTTTCATCCCTATAGGAGGGAGATGACGGATGACGCATGTTGGACAATAAGCTGCCTGTCACCCTCTGGGGACTGCTGACAAAATGGGCAGTTTGCACAGAATCTCCGACCTTTTGACTCATTTCCAAATATTACATTTGTTTTTGGCCAGATTGGTTATTTCACTGGGGAAATAGGGAAAGGTCAGCCATCAAATGGAGAGCTTTTTCTTCATTCCCAAGTTGTCAAACTCTATTAGTGGGACAGCTGTGGTGGTAGGAGCCAGAGAACGACGGCCCAGGGACAGCGGTGGCCCTTTGGATGCCGAAGGACTACAAGTCCCATCATTGCCAGGCAAGGGAACAGAGGACTACATATTGCTCAGTCTGGATGTAGAGAGGGCTATGCTGGATTGTTAGACGTTTGCCTTGCCATCTGTCGCTGTGTTGGTTGTTGTACATCTGTGATTGCTCCTCTTCATGTTCCTGTCATGCTCCGTCACTCAGACATGTTGCTGTGGTACATGGTCCATGGGGACATCACTGTGTACTCACCATGATGAAGGCTGGAATTCTCTGCAAGGAAAAACAATTCTAATTTACATTTACAGTAAGGGCCCCAATCACACTATGCCGTTCTATTGTGTTACTGGTAATGTGCTCTGCGGAGGTCCATTCATTTACAATGGGTTATGAATGCATGGCAATGGAAGAAAAGAAATCCTTATGGCCTTTTTTTTTTCTTGCACAGTACTATGTCACCTATGGTATTTGTGTATTAGGATGCTATTGTACATGTAATGCACCTCACCACACATTGTATTGTATTTTAACTTACGCAACACACAGGCGTGAAGCCAGCCAAATACATTCTTAAATTAGCAATATTTGTGGGCGCACCCTGAAAAGGAAAGGCATTGCTCTTCTCTGTGACTTCCCGCGTGATGAGCCGAACTTACCTGGGTTCAGTTTGGGGTGGGTGTATGAAATTTTACCAAAATTTGGATGATGAAATCTAGGCTAATAGCAGGGGTGCTAATAGCATTTACCAAAAGGCAAACAAGGCATTTTCCTAGGCTGGCATTTTTCAGGGGGGGCAGCACCACTCCCTGGAAGAAGGGACAAAAAGAGGGACTCATGCGGCATGGTGACCAGGTGGGATCCGAGATGGGCTGCTTGACGGTGTATGAAGAGCCTCAGAGACTCTCATTCCAGGGGATGTCTGGAGCTGTGAAGGTGAGTGTCTGTCTTTCTCTGTCTCGCTGCAGGGTGGGTTGGCCGGTGTATGGAGGGTGGTGGTGGTGGAAAGCTTTCTCGGGTGGGGGGGGTCAGGGGGTATGGGATGGAGGTAGTGTTGGTTGGTGTTAGGCTCTCTCCGCGGGAGGGGGGGGTGGACGATTTTTGTGTTGCCTAGGGCAGCACAAAACCGAAATACACCACTGGCTAATAGGTAAGGGATTGTCAAACAGATGGCATCCTCATTGGCTGAGACACAGCAGCGGGAGCTATTGACTCTCATTGCTGTCAATCACAGCCAGTGAGGAAAAAGCGGGGGTTGGGCCAAGCTGTTGCTCTATGTGTTTAATGGATGCAAAGAGCAGGGCTCAAGAGTGAGCACGCACCAGTGTCCCCACAGGAAGCAGCTTGCTATTGGGGCTACTGGTCAAGGTAGAGGAGCAAGGAGCCAAGAAGATAAGGATCAGGGCTACTCTGTGCAAAACCATTGGACAG